TAAGGAAGCTGGCTAAATAGATAGGGAAAATTTTACATTTTGAACCCCGGGTTTCAGTAAAGATATTACATCCATGGTCTCAGTGCCGTCAAGCAGTAGAAAAATTTGGCTCTAAAGTTTTGGCAGGACATCAATTGACCATAGAGCCTCCACCTGATTATGATCAAGTAAAAATTCTTCCCCCGAAATCATCTTTAATTGGACTTTCAGCTCCTCACGGAGAAGTTAATTCTTCTGCTTTTCCACGGTACAATTAGCAAAACAGGTAGAAAAAAAAGATGTGTTTTCTGTCTGTTCGCCTAAATTGATTCCACAAGATCATGAAGTGATTGGCTTAAATAATTGTTTTTGTTTTCCTCTGATCAGGATAAGTCCGTCTTCTCTGTACCTGCCATTTTCTCTCTCACCCTTGGCCCCCCTGATCAGAAAGAGTCTATAACTGTTTCTGGCAAGTCTCAGCAAGCCTTCTTTAATATCAGGCAGAAGGCTACGTATCCGTATCCTGATTTTTTTTAACAGATTGCAGGATACTTTAAAACAACAAATAGACAATTCTGAGGCTCATATGAAGTTGTTGATGAAATTAAAAAAGGAGAATGCTACTTCCAAAAGCCAGAAGGCAATTATTGGTCTTGGATCAGGAATGATCCTGATTTGGCATATATGATTAAAGCATGTCAAGATATAGGGACAGCCGCTTGTCGAACTAATTTGGAATGTCAAAATCCAGGGAGGGTCATGTCTGCAGCCTCCCATAGCCATTTTCATCAATGGTCAAAGCTAAAAGCAAAATGTCCAAAGTTATTTCGTTGGTTGATCTATACATTCACTTAGTCCTTTTTATATCAGATATATGTTGCAGAATTGAATCCTTTTCATAAGTGTTATCCATCGGCTTTGTTAAATCATTATATGGATGATATTTTAATTGGACCCCCAAAGACCTAATTGGCTTTCAGAAATACAAAATGATTTAAATGTCTAATTTTTTCTTGCTCCGGTTTTTTCTTTGTTTAAATGTACATGAAGGTATTTTGCTAATTAATTTATGGCAGTTGCTGGGGACCCTTACTTGGGTTTGTCCGTATTTTCCTTTGCCGGCACATTTACTTAGTTCTTTATTTCATTTATTGACCAAAGGAAAACAGCCCAGCGATCTCATTGTAATTTTTTTCCACAGCCCTTGCCACAGTTGAAAAGATTAATGAGATTTTGAGGATTCCGTTTGTGAATCGCATAAATTGTCTGCTAACTCTTTTGTTTTTGTTTTTTACTATTAAACTGCCTACAGTAATGTTAACTGTATTAGAAGACAAAAATACCCCATTACAAAATGTTTTAACCTTGGGATGTACCCAAGTTTGTTGAAGAAATTGGACTGATTTGATTAATATTATTTTTCCTATTCCAAAATCTGATTTTCAATTTTATTTTCAGAATAATTTACCTATATAGTGTGATTTAACTGACTATGTGGGCTGTATTTCATATCATTTGCCTAAAAATCTTTGGCTTGTGTGTTTAATGACTTTTTCTTTTCCTATTTGTCTATTGCTTTCGTTTTGTTCGCTTTTGTTCGCTTTTACTGTTTTTTCAGGTGGAGGGTGAATTTCAATTTCAATTTCAATTTAATAAAATTTGTATGCAGCCCAATCCCTTGGGACTCTGAGCGGCTTACAGGCAAGATAAAAGGAGCATTTAAAAATTTAAGATAAAAAGATAGAAAGATGTAATTATTAAAATTAAGCACCATCCATTCTGTCTGA